TCAAAGCTCTGTCCTCAACAAAGATGATCTAGCAGAAGCATTCATCGCCCTGTCTCTAAACCCTTCTTCAATCCAAAAGCTCAGGACAGAACTAACAGAGGTTGCCGCCCAATTCGCTGCAGACTTCATTTCCGCCGGCTACACGGATTATTCTGCCTTCAAGGACGAGATCAAAGGGATGTTCTCCTCTACGGTCACCTATGGCATTTACTCYAAATCCTCCAGGGCTAACATTAACCATCTAGCCACTCGTAGAGAGCTAGACGCAATGGTTGAAGCCCTTGGAGAGACCGTGCAGAAATACACCGACCAACTCCTCAAGGAAGCCCAAGAAAGCAACGAAGCTATAAGAGACTGCACGAAGAAACTCGTCAAAGAAGGTGATAACTTCAGAAATGAGATCTATCGCTGCATCTGTAAGATGAAATGGGCCACAGAGATGGATATCAACACTGCCTCTGTGATTGCTGAGGAGGTCATTCAAAAGATGGAGAGGACGGCTTCCAAAATTTTAAAGCGATTGAAGAAGGCTCCCCTTACTACTTGCAAGACAAAAGCCACTAAAAACCATGACGATCAAGGAGGTGATGACCATGATCGTCATGAGGGGGAGAAGAAGAAAGAGGAACCAAAGAAGACAACCTCTGCCAGACCACTAAAAATAGTGGACTCTGCTGCTGCCCTATTCTCTAAAGACAAATCTCCAGAGCCTAAGGGGAAAGGCAAGGGTAAAGCAGTAGAGGAGTCGCCACAGAAGGGGTCAAGCTCTGAGACGCCAGAGGAGATAAATGAAGAAGAGTATGATGACCCCGATCTCGTTCGAGCTTTAAAGGCGTCTTTGGCAGAGGCACAAGCGAGAAAGTGCAGAGCCCCCATCCCCAGAGCTGGAGAAGGCTCTTCCTCTAAAATGGCGAAGATTACAGAGGAAACGTCCACGAGTACGTTTGACGCTCTGGTAGGAACTGTCAAGCCAATCCTACCAGAGGGGTCCACCCAGAGGCCGATACTAGAAGAAGAAACCAGAATACCATAATCTACCACAGTGGGGAGGGTTTATGAGATACTTGAATCTATGAGCAAGATTCCTACGCAGAAGGTAAGCACAGAGCCCATAACCACTGTTGAGGAGATTCTGTGGTGGCGTTACTCAGCTGTGGACACGGAGTCCCCTTATGACCCAGAGCTTACAGGTATGCCCTCTGCCATTGCAAAGTTCCACTTCTCAAAGCTCACAAGGCCACCAGAGCAGGTCTTCTCAGAGCATGTAATTACTTCACTCGAAACAATTTCTCCAAGGACTATGCTCAAGAAGACCGTGCTATATGCTCAGTATGTGATGAAGAGGGATGACGACAACCTATATACTTTCACAGATGCTGACCTCCACAACCTTTGTGTATTTGACCTAATATTCCTTCACAAGATATTGAACAAATACATGGAGAGGAGGTCAACATATTTGATTTCTCTCAGAAGGCTGATTGAGGTTATGCACACTTAAGTCAAGTTTTACAGCCAAAAAGATTTCGACATCGCGATGAGGTTGGCCCAGCCAGAGCTAAAAATTTCTCCTCCACAGAACAGACCAAGTTGGCTGCTTAGATTTCATCCCAACACCATTGTCCACAATCCCATCTTTGGGTTTGTATTCCTGGACAAKGATGAAATTCTAAGGTTCTTCGATCCCAAAGAGACGCACAAATATTCGACAGTGTCTCTTGAGTGGGTGTTCAACCTAGTGGTGGCAGAGGTGTAGAGAGGGCATTTAAGGGCGGATGAAGTGAACCACCTTCTGGAAACGATCAAAGTTCAAGTCTCCTTCAGAGAATGGATATTCAAAGTCTACAGAACCATCAAGTCTGATCTGTAATTTGCCGTAGATGACTATCCAGACTCTGCTGTGGACTAATTCTTGTAATAGTGTAGGCCTGAGCAACAAAATTTTTAATTCGTTCATTTATGTAATTCTTTTCAGAGGATGAGTTTAATCTCCTCTTGTAATTCTTTCTTTTAGTCATTTCTTGCAACCATTTGTCTAAATTTACTTTTTCGTACTTAGGGAGAGATTGTTAGCTCTAATATTCACTTCTTGTAAAAGTATGAAAAAGTATTCTGCAAGTGTTGACAGAAGGGTATCTTCCACAGAAGACAACAGAGGACTAGCAACAGAAGCTGTTTCATCGTGCAAGTAAAATGTAACAGAACCTCTGATGTCTCTCACAGAGGTTCTGGAAAATGGTCCTCTGGCAATAAGATCATACAAGTCAATTACAGCAGAGCCTCTGGGATGGCTCACAGAGGGTCTGCGGTTTCGTCTTTTGTGAAGATCCTGTTCTACTGTTTCTTCAAAGGTTGTTAGCTGCATGTGCTTCTCACGTGACTAGGTCTTTAATCGACTTTATTTGGACGGCTTAGATGATTTCACGTGTCTAGATCTTGTCAGTAAGGTCGTTAGGAGCTAGTATAAATAGTTGTTTAGGCCTTTGTATTCAGCGAGCTTCAATATTGTAATCGTCTTATTTTCAATTGAATGAATTGAAAAACCTTTGAGCTTCAGCATTGTTTCCGCTGGACTGTAATCGTCCTAGAGTTTATTCAGAGTAATAGATTAATATCAAAGCTGAATTTACAGGTCCAACAACATGACTAACACGAGTGATGGTTGACTGTTTCATTCCCATATAATATCACATGTGTTGATTGGTTGTTTAAGGTGTTCTAACATTTTCATAAAATGGTATTTGTTAGAAGAATTAACTGTGTAACATGCTTAATTAATGATAATTTTTTGTTTATTATTTCTAAGCTAAAGCATGGTTTCTTTTACCAAATCCAAATATGATGGTTGAGATCATTTATTTATTTTGTTTTTGTATTTTTATTGAAATATAAATTTGCAAGGTTTACTGTTTGTTTTCGTTATCTAGTTGGAAATAATTAATTCTCAATTGTGAACTTTATCCCGTTATGTTTCGAGGTCAAACAGGTGCCAATTTGAGAAATTGGAGTGATTGGAGACTCTGCATGGCCTAAGCCACGTGATAGGCCCTTGAGCTTTAGAATGGTCGAAGGCATGAAAGGAAGTTGTGCAAGAGTGTGACAGTGGGCTGGGCGACCTAAGTAGAGTCAACTAATCGGCTCCGTACCGTACTATCTTTTAGAAAGGGTATGGGGTTGTCCTTTGTGTGTATAAGAACAAGACAAACTTAGTCGTGCTCAACAAGGTTCTTTTGATCGCTGAATGCTGGAATAACCTGAAGGTCTCTTTAGCATTCGTTGAGGCTTGGGCAGTATTCACACATATGTAGACCATGTTGTAATAACTGAATACCGCTTCAGATCACGTACTCGCTAGTCTCTAATCTTCAGTTTTACTCTTCGACTTTCGCTGAAGGTTCTTTGGTGTGAGTTTTGTCTTCTTGAAGTATCGCTGTCACTGATGGGTTTACATTACAAGTTCTTCAGTGATCACTGAACAGACTCAGTGATGATCGCTGGAACTGAAAGACAGAAACATAAATACTTCGTATAAGGTAAAAAGAATTATCATCAATTTTTTGAGAGAGAGGATCAACAATCTCCCCCTATTTGATGATAACAAGACAACATAAAGAAAGTTGTCTTATCAAATAATAGTAAGAAAAAGTAACACATAAAGTACATGCCCCTTTTAACTATTTTGGCATATTTTTCAGTGAGTCAGTTTTTTACTTGGAAAATTTTATTACAAGAAAGAGAACTGAAATTGAAAGCTTATTCACTAACTTATAGATTGTCAGTGAATGTAAAAAGTAACACTGGAACTCATAGACTTGTGTCCCTATTACTTTTTCAGTGATGCAAAGAAACACTTATATTAATTTCAAGGGAAATATTACAAGAAGTTCAGTACATGTCTAAAACTTACAAAATATAAGATTAATCACTGAAAGTAGACATAGTAAGTAGATTACAATACATGGACAATATTACAAGGAAAATAATTTATTCTAAGTTGTTTAGATTAATGTAACTAGGTACATTTTCTCCAAGCTTCTTTCGACGTAGAAATTCTCTTCATATCCTTCGGTCCATAACTCTTCCTTTCAAGTCATCATCTAGCCAGAACGTAAGATATACGAGATGTTCCATAGGGCATAGATGTAACTCAGACATTATCTGAAATCTTACTTCACCTTCATAGTCAAGGAATATAACTCCTGACTCAGGTTTGAAGTGCACAGTGTTGGGTACATAAGGACCCTTCGCTGCCAGTTCAATATTCAGCATAGAGATGTCTGGACTCTCACGATCCTTCAGGACTTCATGTAAGGAGAACTTTGTTTCATGTTCGTTCCTCAGGGATGGTCCATCACTAGAACTAGAGGGTCTTTTCTTTTTTCCTCCTTTTTTCATCGTTGGCCTCTCAGGGACTGTGACATACCTGGACATCTTCTTGATAAGATCATTGATGATGTCTTCTATAATCGGCTTATGTCTGCATTTGGAGCTCTGAATGGCTTGTTTGATCTCCAGCCATTCGTTGTATCCATATTGGCCAAGGTAGGAAGGGTACTCGGTTATGGCATCGAGATTGAGAGTAGCATTCCACCGTCTTTTGATTGTCCGTTGATGCTGACGCTCTTGATTGGGTGAGGACTAATTCTCTTGTTCATTTTAGCTTCACTCCAACGCTTGTCTCGCTCAGCCAGCTTCAGGATTTTCTCGTGCTTAGCTTCTACAAGAGAGAGGAGCTTAGCTTGGGCTTGGAAAACGTTCACCTTCTTTTTGGAAGAACTTTCTCAACTAGAGACTTGGCCAACTTTAGGCTGTTCTCAATTTGCTTATTTTGAAGTTCAAACTCTTCCTTAGCTCTTAATGCCTCGAGTCTCTTAGCTTCTATCAGGAGGTCGAACTCACCACCACTAGAGGTACGAAGGGTTATCAAGTTGATAGAGGGAAGTGATGACTACCTGAGAGGTGGAGTCATCATATAAGGGTTGAGGGTTTTGAAATAGTACCTTCGGATTCCCTTCTTCAGTGACTCCTTTGCCTTTCGATGAAGGACCCTGGTTCTTTTCAGGCGCCGACTCTTCTTCCTTTTGCTGCCCCTGGGATGCGAAATCCCTGAGGGCAACTCCTTTAGTGGCGGTTGTTGGATACTGAAACTGAATGGAGAAGTCATCTTCATCATCATCGTCGTCATTGCCATCAAGGTCACTGCTGGAGTCTGGAAGATCAGGTTCGTCACCTTCATCCTCTTCTTCATCAACTTCTTCTTCCACATCACCAGCAACATGTGCAGAGGTGATGGGAAGGTCATCATCACGAGGGATGGCATCATCACGAGGGATGACATCAACTTCCTCAGTTGTAACAGCTTCACCGGAGGTTAGGATATGACGGACAACCTCAGCTTCAGCTTCGTTGATTGTTGGTTCAGCAGATGGTCCAACAGCAGCATTGGAACTTATCTTCTCCCCTCTCTGGCTAAGGCTTGAGAGCATATGCCAGAGAGTTGGTCCACGCTTTGGAGCTGGAGAACCATCATCTCCTCTAGCCGCGTCAGAGCGCTGGCTAGGTTGTTCGTTGCTTTTCGCGTCTCATTAAGTTGAGCGCAACCATCAGTGGTGAAGGAGGGATGGATCATTGGTGCTGGTTAACAAACAGCGACCAGGACTTGCTGGAGGAGCTCCATCTACATGGGGCGCCCGTTCCCGTACGTCGTGCCTACCGTTACCCGTGCATCGGCTAAACTGTGTGCCTATTTCAAAAATTATGACTCCTCAAAAAATCAATGTTTGTTCCTGTCACTTTGCTTTTTGTCCATAAGGTATATATAGGGGGGTATAGAGTGTCTCAAGGCACCGATCAGGACAAGCCAAGTCACTCATCGGGAGACACTAGTTGGAGCATGGGTCGCGATATCGGATCAAAAATCTCCCCCTGGCCTAGCCCTGTCGGTAAACGAGAATGATCCGATATCGAAGAAAAGTTGCTATGGAATTAACGGCCAGCATGTTGATCCTCGTCCGGAGCACGATTGGTTGCGTAGGCCTAGGCCAGTGATCGGTCATATGTGCCTAGGACGTGGTGATGTGGGTGATGCATTGAGGCAAGGTTTCTTCTCTATTTTTGCTAGTGGGCAGCTCGTTATGCATTGAGCTTCTGATGATCGATCTTAACCTGTAGACACGTTATACATTGATCCACATACATGGCTATATCTTTCTTCAATCCGGACCACCAATAAAAAGGTTTCAGATCTCTGTACATCTTATTGGTACCTTGATGTATAGATGTTGGTCCCGTAAGGGTCTACAAGAATAGAAACAATTTATAGAAGGGGGGGGGGGATGAATACAAACACAGTATTTTCAAAATTTAAAATATATATTGATAGAGAAGATCAATACAGATTTTACAAGACTGTTTGCGGAAAGATAAGGTAATGAAAACCAATCTAAACAATCTTTAGTTACACACAGAGCTTTAGCAAATACAAGAAAAAAGATTGCTAAAAGGAGGATCCTTTACTTAAGCTAGAAGATGTTTGAAGTAAAAATAGGGTTAGAGAGAGATGCGCGCTCTCTGCATGGAGAAGAAACACTTCTATTTATACCCAGTGCATTAAATGTCCATTTAATGCAATATGGTAGGTTTAGAGTGCGTGTCAAGCCTTAAGAGGAAGACTTGTCCTTTGCTACAGTGAATAGTACAAAAGCTCTATTTTCTGAAGAGACATCCTTGCCTAAAGTTGATGGACAAAGAGTCGACTAATCGGCTCCGTACCGTACTAACTTTTGCAAGGGTATGGGTTTGTCCTTTGTGTGCATACGGACAAGACAACAACAATCATGCTAAGCAAGCTTCCTTTGATCGCTGAATGCTGGAATGACCTGGAGGTCTCATCATCATTCGCT